AAAAGACTAGGACTTCATTATTTCTTGCTTCCTCAACTCAAAATAAATAAATTTCCTTGATACACCATTCAAAGTTAGAGGAGCACATGTGAGTCTAAAGGGAACATCACCATCATTGAAAGCAGCAGTTTCATTGAATATAGAAGTAAAATACAGTAGCCTAACAAAAATGCTGAAAGAGTTAGAAATAAAGTTTTAATGAACTATTTCATATTAGGATAATGCATTAAGAGCTCTAACCACAGAGCCAATTGATAATATTTTCTAAAAACTCTGTTTTGGGGTCATCATGGAAATTTTTAAGGCTGATAATCATGTGGTACTCACAAGTAAGTCACAGTGCCCTGAATCTATTCTGATAGATCAATGATATATTCTGATTGACCAGTAGCCACTCATACTGGTCGTTACATTTTTTAATATCACTCTTATCCAGAGTGAATTTTAGATAACTTTTGGGTTTTCTTTTGCCATGTATCATCTGTGTGTAAAGTTGGACTATGATAAGGTACAGGATATCTTGTGACTTATTCATGCCCAAGTATATGGCAATAGGGTAGTGGTGTAAATGAAGCAATTATGATAAAATTTGTACATCTTTCTGGTGGATCACTTTTACTCACTGGTGTCATTTTAACATTAAAGCACAAACAAATGTATTATGGAATAAAATGCAAAAATTACATGAGTCTTTTTGTGTCTTTGGTGGGTGACCTTAGACTCTCATTCTCTGCCTCTATTATTGGCATTTTAGTAGAAAATTGGAAGAGGCACTGATGGAAACTAAGAATTCATCTCCAGAACTCTTCTATCGAGTTTAGTTTATTACCAACTCAAAGGCTGATAACTTATAGCTTTTTCATGTGAAAATGTTTTACTTCACTAACTGCATTGAAAGTATCTTCTGTATTAACTTCTTTTGCTAACAATTTATATTCTTTCAGTTTTTTCCTTCCTAATTATTGGAAACCTAGGTATTTAACCACCGTTCTTTTCAAAGACCATCTTAAGAAAAGATTACTCTGTTTATATGGATATTTTGCACAGTGCTCTCCATTTGTAAACAAAGGGGTACATGTAAGAGTTGACTAGGGCCAAAACCGGTTTGGCTCAGTGGATAGAATGTTGGCCTGTGGACTGAAGGGTCCCAGGTTCGATTCCGGTCAAGGGCATGTACTTGGGTTGCGGGCACATCCCCAGTGTGAGATGTGCAGGAGGCAGCTGATCGATGTTTCTCTCTCATCGATGTTTCTAACTCTCTATCTCTCTCCCTTCCTCTCTGTAAAAAATCAATAAAATATATTAAAAAAAAAAGAGTTGACTAGGAATTAGGATGAGAAATTGCATTATTTCTTTCATCCTTTTGATTGAGATCACAGTATAGACTAATTAATTATATATGAAGTGAATTGCCAAAACACAAGTCATGCATATATATGTACATTCAAATATAAATATTATATCTCAATAGTATTTTTTTAAATGAGACCACTAATAATCCTAATAGTCTAAGAGTAGGAAGCACATGCTAAGTGCTCTAGACTCTTGTGACAGCTCTCTACCTAACCAGGTACGTGACTTTGGATGTATCATAATCTTAATTTCCTGGTCTGCAGATAAATAGGAGGGACTAAGGCCCCTTATAGTTTAAGATTCTAGAATTCTAAGCATATGTAACTAGTACAGATATTCGAAAATTTTTAGGATAGATGTAAAAAAGGAGAGGACAAAGAGTTAAAAGTATTTCTAGAAATGCTCCCAGATTGGAATTACTGCTAAATATTGGTTTGCTTAATTCAGCATTGCTGTGTAATTTGATTGTAACTATAACTTCATAGACAAAGAGTATCTGATCCTAACAAGCTTGTAATATATATATATATATATATATATATATATATATACACACACACACATATATTTCTGCTTACATTTCCATATAATCATGTTTCACCCTAACTTTTACAAATGAAGTAAAATTAGTCTCATTATGAATTTTTTTGATATTCAAACATTAAATCAATTCATATAAAATTTGAGTATGGACAGATATTCTGCTAGATCCTAAGAAAATAAATATGAAAAACATAGGTCCTCTTCTGCCCTCACATGTTCACAAGACTCCAGAAGCTGATCTAGGAACCTAGACTAGTAAGGCCCTTGAGTCAGATAACAGTTAAAAATATCATTCTTGGCCAGGCCACAGTGGCTCAGTGGTTGAGCGTCGACCGATGGACCAGGTCACTGTTCAATTCCCAGTCAGGGCACATGCAAGGGGCGTGCAGGAGGCACCCAATCGATGATTCTCTGTCATCAATGTTTCTGTTTCTCCTTCTCTCTTCCTTTTTGATATCAATTAAAAAAATTTTTTAAGAAAAAATCATTCTTGGCATCTCCCCAGAGTAGATCTTAGAAAGGGTAGCTTTTTAGCTTCCTGCAGTCTCGTTAGACAGGTAAACCACAAGAAAACCAATTGAATTTGTTGTTTCTGTTTATATATATGTTTCATGTAACTCTCACCTATAAATGTATTACCATATCTACACTAATAAAAGAGAAACATGGTAATTGGCGTACGACCGCTACCCTTCCCATTGGCTAATCAGCATATCCTTATGCAAATTAACTGTCAGCCAAGATGGCGGCCAGCAGCCATGCACTGAAGCAAGCAGGGAGGCTTGCTTACTCCAGGGACTGCAGACTCCAACGTTCCCCGCCTCACTTGCCGGACTCTCAACTGCAACTCTAAGCAACTATTACTATGTTGCAAATAAGAAGCTAAACAAAACCGGCTTTCAGTCAGCCCCGGACCGCAACATTGTATCGATGTTTTCAGCAGCGAGGCCTCAGAGCTAAAGCTGGCCCAGAATAAAAAAAAAAAAAAAAGAAAACAAGGAGCGGTTGGGAGCTTTTAGTCACCTGCCAGCCGGAAAACGGCCCTCAGCCCCGCAGCCAGACTGGCCAGGCACCCCAGTGGGGAACCCCACCCTGATCCAGGACACCCTTCAGGGCAAACCAGCCAGCCCCCACCCGTGCACCAGGCCTCTATCCTATATAGTAAAAGGGTAATATGCCTCCCGGCACCGGGATAAGCGGAGCAGCGAGGCTCCCGGCACCGGGATCAGCGTGACAGGGGGCAGCGCCCAAACCCCCTGATCAGCCCTGCTCTGTGCCTGATAGGGGGGAACTCCCCAATCCCCTGATGGCCCTGCGGCTCTGTGTGTGACAGGGGTGCAGCGCACAACCCCCCTGATCGGCCCTGCTCTGTGTGTGACAGGGTGCGGTGCCCAAACCCTCTCGCCCCCAACGGGCCCTGCTCCTGTGTTGCCCCACCCCCCCTGTTTGGCCTTGCCTCTTTGGAGGGGACAGGGGGGGAAGCGCCCCCAACCCCCCTGATTAAGGCCCTGCTCTGTTGAATGAACAGGGGGGGGGGTGCCCGCAAACCTCCCCCATCGACCCTGCCTTTGAAGTGTAACAGGGGGGTGGTGGCCCCAACCCCCCCAAATCAAGTCTTCCCTGAGCGTGACTGAAGGGTGGGCATCGCAACCCCCCCGATCCCCCCTGCTCGGTGCATGACGGGGCGGTGCCCCAACTCCCCAATCGGCCCCTGTTTTGAGCCTGCCCAGGGGCTGCACCTAGGGATTGGGCCTGCCCTTCTCCCCCCCCAGAAGCGGGCCTAAGCCAGCAGGTCATTTTCTCCCGAGGGTTCCCAGACTGTGAGAGGGCACAGGCCGGGCTGGGCCCCCCCCCCCCCGAGTGCACAAATTTTTGTGCACCGGGCCTCTAGTCTATATATATAAAAAGCCAGCATCGGAATGCCGTAATGACCAGAACGACCGGTTGCTATGATGCCCACTGCAGCCAGTGAACCAGCCCGATTGGGGGAGTGTGGCCAGCCAGTCAACCTCCCACAGCCCCTCCCCCAAGCTGACCCTATCCCTGATCACCCTCTCCCACCCCAATCGAGGGCAGGCCGTCTGGCCAACCACCTGCGGCCCCTCTCCCTGGCCAGCCCCACCTTCAATGGGCCCCCACCACCTGATCAGCCTGTGGCCCCTTCCCCCAACCAACTCAGCCCCCAATTGGCTCCCCACGCACCAATCGGGGGTCGGGCTAGCCAGCTCACCACCCACCGCCCCTCTCCAGGCCATCCCCACCTCCAATCGGCACCCCCACTCCAATCAGGGGTGGGGCCCATGGGCCAATTGCCCACACCCCTCCCCTGGATCAGGGCAGGCTGGCTGGCCAACCTCCCGCTGTCTCCTCCTCCCAACAGGCCCGGCCCCAATTTGCCCTTATTGAATCCGGTCAGCCTGACCCCACCCATGCATGAATTTGTGCACTGGGCCTCTAGTAACATTTATATAAAACAAAGGAACTTGAATGAAAAATATTTTGAAATTAAAACCACCATGGTGAGCATGTCAATAGTATAATTTAGATAACTTTTGACCTCCTATTAATGAATATATCAGGTGCCAATGGAAGAGTTATGAGTGGAGATTTGTTTTCTAATAAATCCATTATCTGTAGCCTGATTTCAGACCTTTATGATATTCTGGGCCTCAATATCCTATTTTGGGCATTGTACTCTTGCCATCTAACAGGGAAACCACTTTTAATGCTGCCATCCAAATGTCCAGATTTCTAGAGATTAGAAAAATTACTAACTTTAAATATGCATGTTTTTAAAATATGGTATTTTCTACTGATAAACTCAAATATAGTCTAACTTTAAAATTCTGTGAGTTCTTTTAACTTATACGATTCAATTTAATTGACAAGAGTATGTGGCAAAACATATTTCACATTTTTGGATTGTTCCCTGTGAGACATCTATTGTGAGATTGCTGCAGGCTGTCATTTTTGTCTGTCATCCAGGATTTGCTGGCCCAAGTGTTGTGTACTGGACTTGGTGTTGGTCACAAGGGGGAGGGAACTTGCAGTGGAGCCAGCCGGTTTTGTTATTGCTTTACAATTAAAAGCATATGAAACAGATACAGCTTATTAAGGTTGTTTTTTATAAATAACATAAACTTAAATAACAAAACAATAAAGTTCATATACAACTTAAAATAGAGTTTAATGCTGTAACCACCAAAAAGAAAAAGCATGATTATTTGTGGGGAAAACATTATTATAAGCCATATTCCTGAATATGAATTATACAAAAGATAGATTATATTACTTGAATTTTAACTTTTAGGGATTATAAAATGTTTTTTGTGGCAAGTGAGATGAAGTACAGTATTATTACCATTATTGCTATTTTATATACAAAATTTTTGAAAACATCCTTGTAGCAATACCCTTTCAATTTGAGCAGCATTAGGAATTTTGTTCCTGTTAGTAGGCACAAAAATGTTCTAATCATATACTTTGTATAACTATTCAATTCCATAATAGAATTTTTGAGAATATTCCTTCTTTTCTGATTAGAGTTTAAGTGAATTATAATTTTTCACTAGAAAGCATTTCAGCTACTGCTCATCTTTCATAGTTAACATTGGCTTGATTATCTGACAAATCATTCCAGCAGCCTTTAGGTCTGACATATCTTATATAACATCATCTGCATTATTATTATTATTATAGCAGCCATTTAATAAGCAGAAAAGAATATTTAAATAATCATTATCAGATAATCAAATCTAACATACTCTTAAGGGTAAATTAATTTAAGAAAAAAATTACTATTACTAACATCATGATTGTACAACCAGTTTTACAATTTTTTACAACTTTTAGTTACTAAATCTGATTTTTGTGTTTATTTTTCAAACCTTTTTAATGCAGTCTCTTAAAATAAACATAATGCGCAAGTCCAGCTTGATCAGTTTTTCAGTAGTTTTCCAGCCTTTCTTGGTTACTTAGAGAAGAGAAAAGAAAAGAAAACAGTCCACTTAAAGAAATCTCCCTGCTGGAACTGGTTTCTTATATAGCATATATGATTAGGTTATTGCCATAGGAAGAAAGTGAGCTGTTTTTTGTTCTTTCTTCGTTTTTTTTCCTCTTACAGGCAACCCCTTTTGACTTAAGGCAACAAACATTTCTCCTCCACCGTGTGTCCATTTAGCTGATGCATATGTGTTATAATGGTTTTCCAGGATTAATTCTTTGAAGTTGCAATCTTCATTGCACTCTTTCTGTTAAAACAACAAACAAACAACATTAGCCAAATGATTTTTAGAGCGGCTCAATTAAACAAAGAGTAAGCAATAATATTTGGTAGAATTAAAGCATATGTGACTTTTTTGAGTGGGCACAATGCAGTTTACACATTTGCAAAAAAATAAGATCTTAAATTTAAAAATAAAATGATACACATTTAGTTATGCAACATGGTTTCAAACATGTAGCTTTGGGCAGTCAGTTGCTTCTGTTCTTTAATAATGGGAGTGATTTCCCCCTAATTAGCAGCTCTCATTTTACTGTGCCTGCCACTCATTCCCTCACCACTGAAACTTTGGTATGACTAGCAGAGCCTCTGCCTTCCTCAGCTGAAAGACATATTTCACAGCCTTTATTTCCTACTACACTGTCTGCAATAGTGATGGAAAATAAAAGGTGAATTTATTTGTTCATCCATCTAATCATTCATTCATTCATTCATTCAGTTAAACCTGTGTTTTTATGTAATTAACCTGTGCCAGGTATTGTGCTATACTCTGAGAATACAAAAGAAAGCTAGTTATACTTTATTACTGTGGGATGAACTGTTACATATTTTACATTGTAATAAAGTAAGAACAATGGTAATACTTGCAGTTCAAAGCCCATAATTTTGGGATTGATAAACAAACTTCTGAATTCCCCCCGCCCCAAGAATTTCCATGTCAGCCATGTGCAAACTGGGTGAACTCTAACAATAGAGCTTTAGTACTGATGGAAGGAAATTTAAGATTTTAAATATCTAAAATGCACATGGAATATTAGAGCTGGAAGAATCCTTAGAAGTTAGCTAGTTTAGCTCATTTCACAGATGAAGAAACCGAAGTCCAGAAAGCTAAACAATTTGTCCAGAGTCACACAGAAAACATTTTTCTTAATGCTTGAATATAAAATATTGTAATGAAATCATTATATGGTTAGAGAAAAATTAATTCCATTTTTTACTTTTCAGAGAGGCAAGATGTTCTTGGTAAAAATAAGTTTGGAAAATTAAGGCTATGCTATCAATTATTAATACCTTTGCATAGAGTTTTCCTTCCTTGTTCATTGCAAGAAAATATTCACTTTCCACCCCTTTGATTGCCACAATTCCAACTTCCACTGTCCTGATTTCCATAATATCTGCAAGGAATCACAGAAAGACATGTCAGTTATTCACTCAGCTTTGCACATTATGCAAGAATGGCCGTTTGTCTTTATTTCTGTTCAATTGGAAGTTAAGATTATTAATGTGATTATTTACTTAGCACATACACACAAACACCAGATCACTACTTCTTATTATATATGTGCAAACTACTGATTTTTTATTTTGTAGAAAAATATACTTATCTGGATTCAATGAAATAGTTACATATATGAATTTAGTTTTTTCTTCTCTAGAATTACATTTCTAATTTACAAGAATAATAACATTAAAAAATAGCTAAGAATTGTTCCAGCACTTATGTATTAACACATTTACTCACCACCCAGACTATGAGGCATGTACTCTTGTTATCCCCAGTTTACAGATCAAGAAGCTCAGGCAGAGAGAAATTTAGTAATTTGTCCAAATTCTCTCAGCTGGTAAGTGGCAGAAGTGGAATTTGAATCGAGATGGCCTGGCTCTTAATCGTTATATCCTATATAATAAAAGCGTAATATGCTAAGTGTCCAACTGTTCAGTCGACCGCTCGACTAGTCGCTATGATGCACACTGACCACCAGGGGGCAGGTGCTCCAACTGGTAGGTTAGCTTGCTGCTGGGGTCAGGCTGATCAGGACTCTAGGGCCGGATATGCCCTAGGGCCTTCCCATGGTCCCTCCCCAGCCAGCCGGCCTTGATTAACCTGATTGGGCCCCAATCAGGACTGGGCAAGATGGCCCCAATCAGCCCACATCGCTGGCCAGGCCAAGGGACCTCACCTGTGCATGAATTTGTGCACCGGACATCTAGTAATACTATAAAAGCATAATAAGCTGACATCTTTATTTTTCTACTTAAACTATCTCTTTAAAAATATTGCTAACAGAATATCTCTTGAATATACTGAAATTGAATAAAAATCCAGTCAAAGCAATTGTAAATGATGGTAAACAGAGCCTAAACTTCAAAAAAGATTAATAGTTTTGTGATACATGAAAAGATAATTTAAAACAAAATTATGAATCCTACTCATATGTTATTTTATAAATGTGTACCTAAGTAATTTTGAAATTAGTTTTACAAAACTTGTAGTTCCCACAAGAATGTTACACTATTATTTTGCATTATGTATATTTTTCTTAAGTGATATATTTTAATGACTCATACTAAATACAGTAAAACCTCAAGAAATTTTTAAAGATGATTTGGGAATTAAAAGTTTAGTGAACCTTTTTATGTAATTTCCATTAATTATACTTTCAACATGAAGGTGCAAACATGAGACATTCTCTTTCCTGCCACTCACACAATACAAAGAAAATTCCAAGTCAAAATTATCTGTATAAATTGAGACTCCAAAAGCTATTTTATAAAATATTCATTTAATAAAAGGAAAATCTGATGTTTTACTCTATGCCTTTAATTCATCCTCTTATTCTTTTTGCTTTGGTTTTCTTATCTAGAGAATAAAGTTGTTACTCTTTTCATCGGGATGAATGTAGCCTGGCTAATATTTGTTATCTGTCTCACATATGTGCTGCATATAGAAGCCACTTTCCAGTATACTGTGCTTGGCACCTGTCAGGGCTCATTTAGTTGAGCATTCAGAGCTGCTCATCCAGAAACTGGGCTCTATATATAAAATGCAAAGGAATGGATATTAATCTTTCTAGGTATTTATAAAGTATAGTCAGGATGCATAGTACTGTACTATAATTTTAGGATACAAATTAAGGAAAATTGCCCTGGTTTCTGAATTCCAGAAGTTAAAAATCTAATATAGGCAGCAAACACATCTGTAGATATACCTTAATTGAATGAGAAAAAAACTTTTTGGAAAACACAGCCCTGAAAAGAAGGCTCCGGGAAACTTTAGCAATTGTTTACAAACACATGAAGGCTGTGATACTGGTGCAGTCATACAGCAGTTAACGAATCTTCACTGAGAGCCAGTCTGTTCGAGGTCACTTCAGAGACAACCCGTGCCCTTTGAGAGCACTGTATCTGGTAACTAACTCTTCTTTGTGTTCATGAAAGGAATAGCTAAGGGAAATCATTTACAATGCCTCTGAATCTGATTAGGTTATGTTTGTACTAATACCATGAATGATACTGAAAAAATTCACTGATTTAACATATTTGCAATATCTTCTAAATTGCAAATGTATCTATTTAAGAACATATGGAGCAATGGGTTTCTAAACCCACTTACCACTGCAAAATTAAATGAAGAGGTCAGTGTTTTCCTTATCATCAATCCATTTACTCCTGCTTCCCGGCCTTTATTCAATGTTATATTTTTTCGTAGATAGAAGAGTGCTGATGAATAGGCTTAGGATATCTTCCATGCTCAATTGTAATTAGGGAATGGAATCTATAATGTTTGCTGGCTTTTCTTTTATAGACCAGTGTTCACACAATGTAACTGTGATAGAGGAATTGTTGATTATGATATGCAGACAACTTCTCTTTCAGGTCCAGTCATGACAATATGCTTATATTGTCTCACCTCCAAACCCTTTTTTTCTCTATCCCCTACCTGTCCATTGCCCATCTTATTTTTGTTGCACTCTGATACTTCATAGGTGATAAATATTGTTCATCATATCCCTCCACATGTCGGGGTTTATAATATTAGAAAGGGTTTAGATTTTTAACAACCCAGTTCACAGTGAGCAATATCTGAACTGGTAGGTGCCTTATCAACGTAGATCCACAGATGGCAAATAGGCATATGAAAATATGCTCAATCTTTAAAGATTCTATCTTTAACTGGGATTAAAATAGACCTGAAATGATAAGGTTCCTGATTCAGGGATATTCTTAATTGTTTGATGTATTTAAATAATATCTTTCACTAGGAAATCAACAGAGTTAAAAGTAGAATGCCTGGGAGAATATTAAGTAGTGTTGGCAGAATCAATACCCTATCAGCCCTGACTTTCTAGTCTGTTCTTCCCTTGTGCTGTGCCCTCTTTTATTCAAAAGAAAAAAAACAAACCCTAAGAATGAAGAAACTACAATGACGACTCTTTTCTTCAAATGCAGAAGGGAAAAGTAATGTTCCTACAAATCCACAAAGATCTGTAGAAGAATGAACTATTTAAGCTTATTATATCCTGCCCTCCAACCCACAAGCCAGGCAGTTGCTTGGAAAATATAAATAAAAATATATAGTGTGTCAATAGTAAGGTGGCTATCCAAATAAGTTAATTGTACATGGTTTTTATTTACTGTATATTTTTTCTTTGTACAAGAAAAATATATAAGTTTATCTTTTCTGGTGAGCCTAGATTTATGAAAGGCTACATACTGTATGATTTCAACTTTGTGAAATATAGACAGTTATGAGGAGTGATGTTATAATAGAAAAATACATTCTGGGGAGGGTTCAACTACACAGACAAGAGTTTGGGGAGAGATGAGAAGGGATGAAAATGTGAAGAATGGGATTTTTAACACAATGAAACTATTCTGTATGGTGTTGTAATAGTGGATACATGATGTTAGACATTTGTCAAAACACATGGAACTACATATACTAGTAGAAAAGAGTAAACTTTAGTGTAAACTATGGACTTTAGTTAATAATATGATTCATTATTGACTCTTCAATTTTAACAAATGTTCCATATTAATGCAAGTTGTTAATAATAGAGGAACTGTGAGGAGAGGTTGGGATGATATAATGGGAACTACTATCTACCCAATTTTTCTGTTAATCTAAAACTTTCTTTTAAAAGTATGTTAATTTAAAATACAGTCTAGATTTTAATTAACAATATAATATGATTGAATGTGCAAGACACTTTTTATACTGGCATTTTTATTACTTATTCTTGTCCCAAATATGTAGTATATCTGGGGTTTATTATTAGTTACTACTAATAATGTCTTCAGTGATGGATTAAGATCTGCCTACCAAGTTTATGACTTCTCTTTGTGAAATATGGACAGCTATGAGGAGTAAGATTATAATAGAAACACACTTTGGGAAGTTAGGAAATACAAATATTCTGTATACAGGTGACTGTATATGTGTATTATCTCTCAGGTGCTTTGGGATGGAAAAATCACTGAGGTCCAGTAATATTTAGAAACCTGATGTCATAAAAATATCTGGACATGAATAAAATGTATATCAAAATTCAATTAGAATTTTCTCTTACTACAGAAAAAGAAAATGAATGATACCCAGCAATATGTGCCAATTGCTAAAAAGAATAGGATGGAAAATCACTTCAATAGAAATTCAGAAGGAAGATGTATTGAATATCCCAGGTGATCAAGGGAGGAGTTGAGGAACAGACAAAACTTGAGTGAGATCTTGAAGGATGGATAAGGTTGAAATAGGTGCGATGGAAACATAGGGTGGAAACATCATTCTAATTGGAAAAGTATATGTAAGACCATTGAGTCAGAGATTCCAAAGTCATGCTCAGAAGAGAGAAACTAAAGCTGTCTGGAGTAGGAAGTGTCTCTAAGTAATAGAAGAAGGTGGAAAGGACTAAGACTAGATTGTTGAGGGCCTTTATTGTCAATTTAAGGAATTTTAACTTTTGTTTGTAGACAGTGAGTCATTGGAGGTTTGAAATTTGAAAAATGTCAATATCCCAAGAAACTAGAAACACCAATAGAGGATATATGCACCCCTATGTTCATAGCAGCACAATTCACCATAGCTAAGATTTGGAAACAGACTAAGTGCCCATCAGCAGATGAGTGGATTAGAAAACTGTGGTACATCTACACAATGGAATACTACAGTGCGGTAAAAAAGGAGGAGTTCTTACCATTTGCAACAGCATGGATGGAACTGGAGAGCATTATGCTGAGCAAAATAAACCAGTCAGAGAAAGATAAATATCACATGATCTCACTATGAATGAATGAACAACATAAACTGACTGATGAACAAAAAGAGATCCAGAGACAGAGAAGCATCAATCAGACCGTCAAACCTCAGAGGGAAGGTAGGGGAGGGTGGGGGTAA